AGCAACCCTGGCTCAGCAGCTGACAGGATCCCATGCTGTCTATCAAGACCGTGATTTCTACTCCCCACTTACCACCCTACTAAGGAGATGTAGAAAGTAATGTCTGGGCCTAAGCCTATGTCCAAAAGGTGTCAAGGGGCTCCATAGAGGAAGGTCTATGGATACATCTAGTACTGAGCACTAGACAGCAGTGGGAACTCCCAAGTGGGTGTAATGTAGCCAGCAGAGCAGATGGCATTGCTTCATGCAACCTACTGTACAGATGGGTAAACTGAGTCTTGGAGAGTCATAGTGGCACACAAGTCTTTGGGGTTTCTGAGGTTGGGCAGATGAGACAGGTGCTCAGGCCCTATGACCAAAGCCCTGCTGGGTCATCATGGCCTCTCCTTCTCTAGGACTTGAGCTCTCCTCCCATAAACAGAAACTAACCCCATCCCTTGCCTCAGACTGTAGAGATGGAAGCCCTATTGGGCTTCATCTGGGAAGCATGAGTGTAGGGAGATGTGGGCCCAATTACTGGCAGCCTCCAAGACTCTAAGTGTGTGTCCAGCCTGTAGCCCTGGGCCGGCCCTCATCGTTTCCCATGACCCCTACACAAGGCTTGTTTCCCTGACCTGCAGCCTCCTTTCTGGGAGACGTGAGGCCATAGAGAGCAGAGGCCCAGCACGGCTTCTCTTCCTCCCGTCCCAAGCTGTTCCGGCATGCACTCTGTAATACTGAACTACTAAGAAAACATTCAGGCAGTCACCTGAGCTGTGGACACCTGCTTTCCTTACAAACACACCATCACCTGGCTGCTCCTGTCCTATGTGCATTCACAGGAATGGTGCTAGAATGGCTGGCCTAGGTAGGTGGGAGAAAGCTTCTGGCACAGAGTCCCCGCTGGGCCCAAGAAGAGGCCTTAAGAAATTGCACCTTCTAGGCCTTGATCCAGTGACAGGACTATGTTGCAGTTTCCTGTCTGCTCTTGCTTGCATACTTACAGGTTTGGGGAGCTAACCCCCCTTATCCTGGAGTAGACCATTTTACTTGACCTTTGGTGAATCTGACATTTGCCCTAGGCCTACACCCTGATCTCCCAACCTGCTTGATGGTCTCCAAGACAGTCTGGTCCCTCTTCAGGTTACCCTGCAGAGCTTTGGGGACAAAGACCCCAGAGTCTCTGTTTCTCCCAGGCTTACCCCTGTACCCCATTAGGTATGGCTTGAGTACTGCATGTACTCTTACCCCTGGCAAAAGAACTCAAAGAAATCCATTAAACATCAGCTATGTGCTAGACTGTACACTGCGCACTGGGCTCCTGATAGAATGACCCATTGGCACAGGAAAGCTGAATCCAAGCCTCAGCCTGCACCAGCCTGCGGGGTCCCCTGAACCTGTGCAAGCTGTCAGGCAAGAAAGAAGATCCCAGCCTGGTCACACTGGGCTGCTTACATTCTCTTCCGGGAAATTTCAAACATGTCCAAGAATAGAGAAAAATGCAACCAACTGCAGGGACCAACAGGACAGATGATCCTTGGGTTGTGCCTGCAACTTTCATGCAGCCTAGTTCCTTCTCCGTGATGTCTGCCATCCCATCCCTGGCATGGTGATGCCTGGGCTGCTCTGTGCTTTGCTCTGCCCTAACAAACATTCGCACTAGGCCCACATCTAGCACATGAAGGCAGTGGCTCCCCAGTGGGACGGAGGGGTCCCAGGCTCAAGGCCCCTGGGAGTAAATCCTCAGCTTTGGCTCTGCAGCCGCAGACCGACAAGGGCTGGCAGTTCTTTCCGGGCTCGCATTGTTTGCGTTTCCCCCAGAGACAGAACCACTTAGAAACCTATAAATCCCTGGCAGGGCTGCAGCCCAGGCGAGTGTATAAATCAGGACTTGTAAAAACGTAATGGTCCCCTCTGGGTGAGTGAGAGAGGCGTGTGCCAGAAATCCTCGGGCATATCCAGGGATCCAAGTTTGGTCTGTTAAGCAGACCAGCAGGGAGGGGTGAGTCCCCATTCCAGTTCTGCCCAACTGCCTCACATAAGTCACCTGTCTAAGTCTCAGTTTTGCCCTCTGTAAAATGGGCTACCACACTTGCTGCTGCAGCAGTGGTTGTGCCCATGCTCTTTGGGAGGTGGTGGTGGGCATAGCAGTATGGAGAGCATGAGATGGGTGTGGTCTCCACTCCTAAATGCTGAATGCTGGGGACACACCCCCAGCCACCAGGCCTCTATTGCCTTGGGCAGGTCACATTGCTTCGCTGGGCCACAGAGTGAGGAGAAAGAAGCAAAGGAAGAGGGAGCAAGAAGAAATACATTCTGACCTCTGATGAGACCTGGTAGCATAAAGGATTTTCTGTTGAAGCAGGAGACAGAAAACAAAAACTGGTGGAAAAAAGGAGGGAAGAGAGCCACAGGGATTTGGGTGGGGTGGAGAAAAGGAAGAGGGATGGATATAGGGCCTGGGTAGAACAGTGTTAAGATAGAGCCGACCAGGAGGTAGAGAGCCAGAGAGCCCCAGGAGCAGGGAGGGAGAAGGCAGAGACAGGGCTCTGGGGGAGCCAAAGAGGTGGAGTGTGTGTGTGTGTGTGTGTGTGTGTGTGTGTGTTGTGCGTGCATGTAATCTCAGCCTACATTGGGCAGAGACATGGGCTGCAGCAGACCTGGACTGGAAGGGCAGCATGGTCATTTGGCAATCCTGGTCATTGTCCCCAGGCCTTAGGTTCCTGGGGAAGACTCATGTCCATCGCTGTATACTCACAGGCCTGGCCTGTTCCCCAGTAAAAAACATCAGCTCCCTCCCGCCCCCCCAACCCCCAGCTGTGTGCCAATGACAGCCACACCTCTCTGCCACTTAGGCCAGTACTGTGCTCTTGGGAATAGAGGTGGCAGGCTCCCATGCCCTCCCCCAGAGGGTGGAAGGAAGAAAGGCTGCAGCTCATGTTTTAAATGAGCTGCTAGGATGCTGGCTGGGCAAGGGCTCAGGTGCCTCTGCGTCCCGCCCCGGGCCTCCCGTGCCGTGCTCACCTTGGATGAACAGCAAACTCCGCCGACATCAGGAAACCTGAGGGTGCCAAAAGGAGTGGGGACAGTCCCTGGTGAGAGAGGAATCACGCTGGCAGTCCCCAGGACTTCTGTGAGCAGGGGTCTGCTCTGCCATCACCTCCAGCCCACTGTCTGCCTTCCTCTCCACGTCTCTTTGTTTCCCTCCCTCTCCCTCTCCCCCCCCCCTCTGAAATTAAATGGGATCCAACTGCCAGCTCCCTGTGTGTTCTGCTCGAGGCTCAGCCCTTTTCATTATTAATAGAAATATGTCCTCATTGTACAGTTTAATTCTGCTTATCTGGAGTGGATTAAGTACTTACAATGACATGCAGTATTGATTCCTGAGCATCCCTGTAAAAGGAATTTCGCCACAGCCTAATTAGTTCCATAAAATCAGTGGGGGAAGAGACATGGGGATGGAGGGACCCTGGCTGGGAGTTAGGGGCCCCGCACCGGTCGGGGCTTGGCCTGGGTCCACACAGAGGCCAGGGCTGTGAGAGGTAGGCGCCAGAGTGCCCCAGTCTTTAAGGGGCAAAAAGTGCAGTATGGATGACTATACCATGGGGACAAGTTACTTTACTATTCCTCAGTTTCTGCATCTGTAAAATGGGGACAAAGATCATTTGGCGTCAGATGAGGCACAGACTAGCTAGCTGATGGAGGAGAGTTTAAACGTGTCCAGCAAACCAAAGGAAGCATGGCTCCTGGCTTTCTGACAGTACAAGTCCCCATGCCCTATCCCATGGCTGGGTGGACAGAGCACTGGATGGGAGTGAGGCCCTTAATGGGACACAGCTATGCCTGTGGTCCTTCAGTGGCTGAGGAAAGCATGCTCTGAATGTAACCCCACACTGGCGTGGGGTGGGAGAGAGTGAAGAGGACAGGGCACAGTGGCTTCTCAGTGGGTTCTTAGACTCACAGTTGGTGTGATCCAGGTAAATGTCCCTAGATGAGGAGGAGGGATCATGCTTGTGGCAAGAGTTCTGTCACTGCTTGCTTAGGTGGCCTCTGTAGCCCCAGTTTCCCCTCTGTGAAGGGGTTTGACTCGACTTTTCCATTTCTCATTGCCTACTTAAGCCAACTGTGTGGACACAGAGCTGCCTGTGGATCTGCATTTGAATCTGGCAGCTGCTCCTCAGCTGATGGCGGGGTGGGGGTGGGGAGCTGGAAGACCCTCCCTAGGATGTTTCTAGGAGTAGGGTAGAACTTGACACACAAGAGGTATGCAAGGAATGGAACCTCTTTGCTTTGTGTCTCTTGAGCTGAGAGGAGGCGGGACGTTGCCTTCAACTTTTCCATGACCCGCAGGGTGACAAGGTAAAATGCACACCATCCAGGTTACCAGCACAGGTTTGGGTGTTGGGCTAGACACTGGAGAGGGGCAGAGGGACAGAGTGGAGGCAGCACGAGGCCAGACCTCCCTGGGCCTCAGCCAGTCTTCAGGGACCCACCTGTGCTCCTTCCTTCTACGGCTGTTGGGTATTAGTGTTCAAAAGCCTGTCTAGACTCCCATGGCGTCAGAGGTCTACAGAGCCTGGGTGGCAGAGCTTCAGCTCACTCTCCCACTGGCTGAGGCCTCGATGCAGCAGTCTGCAGGTACCTGGGGACATGGCTTGGGTTCCCTGTCACTCTGACATGGTGTGGTGGGACCCCATCAGTCACGGAGCCCCTCCTAGCCTCCGTCTCTCACCTGTCTGTGGTGATACCCTCCCTGGGGTCTCTTAACAGTCATAACATGTGGAGGTGGGAGGCAGTTAACACGGGTACCTACCCACATGCTGGAACCTAGGGCCGACCCGGGGCCTCCATGGGGAGGCCGTCCATGGGGCCTCCCAAGCCCCCAAAGGTTGGCTCTTGGCTGTGCACTCCTGGTCTCAGCTTCTAGGCTGAATCCCACCAGAGAACCTGACTTCCAAGTCTCATTTCCAGTTTTTAATGCTTTGTTGGTAAAACCAAAAATATAAAACTGACAGGGAAATGGAAACAAGTTCTGTACAATTTATATACACGAGGTCTGTGATGTTAAAACCATAGGGAGGAGAAAGAGGAAGACACTATCAAGGGCATGTTCCCTGGTGGGCAGCTCGGAGCTCAGCAAGCCACTCCCTCCCACAGTGCCGGGTTTCCCTGCGATGGTCACTTTGCTGCTCCTGCCAGGTGCAGGGGGCGGGAGCCCGTGGCAAGTAGGTGAGGCAAAGTCTGTGAGCTGGGCAGGCGGGCGCGTGAGCCTTCCTTCAGGTGTCGGTGTAGATGGAGGGGATGTGACTCAGGCAGTGGTCAAAGGCTCCATTGGAGAAGAAGCTGCAGTCCTCAGGGCCGCTGGACACATCTTCAGCTGGCTGTGGCGGCAGCACTGTGGGGCATGGGGCCTCAACCAGGGCCTCATAGCCTATGGGAGACAGGAGAGAATGGGTTTCTTAGACCTCAGGTGCCTGTGGTAAGGAGAGGGGCTGGAGGGAGTCCTGAGCCTGACCCTCCAGGGAGCCTGGGACAGCTGAGGGACTATGTTCACCTTGATAGGGGAACTGGCTGACAGTAGCGGTGCTGCAGTGGGTACTGGGGAGAGCAGAAGCCCAGAGAAGCTTCTCATTCTGGTTGGGGGCTTCTCTAGTTCTCTGACCCAGTATGGGGTTACCTTTAGCTCTCCTCAAAGTTACTGATGTCAGGCCTTGCTGCTACACAGAGATCTGCCCGGGTGGGTAAGGGTGGGAAAGTCAGGATAGTGAGAGCCAGCGGGGTGGGTACAGCACTGGAACCTGATCACACACCAATCAGTGTGCTCACAAACCTGGAACACAGCACACAGGTGAACCAGACACAGTTCTATCATGCAGATGTGTGGCACATATCCACCTTCATACACTGTATTCCAATCTCCAGGTACGCAGCACACTAATCTGAAACAAGCCCGCAAGTGACTGGGCCCACACACAGGTCTGTGGACACAGGTAGTTACAGGTGGGTGACACACTGTGCAGAGCGACAGGTGTGGGACCATCAGGATGGCACAACTTGAGTACAGTGTGCAGGTATGAGAGCACACGCTCTGGGGTCCCCTCCTGCTGCCCAGAACCACCTGACCCAGCCCTATGTGCACATGCACACAGGCATGCCCACTGTGCAGACAGGACACATAGCGATGAGAAGCACGTGTGTAAGAATGCACACATGGACCATTACAGAGAGACCCATGGGGCTGAGTGCTTGTCTGTGGCCCTGGTACTTGACCTTCTACCCTTGGTTGCCTGAGAGCCCTCTGGGGCAGGCCTGCAGTTTCCCCTTTGGGCCTCAGTGGCCACTAGCTAGATCTGGCCCGGAAGCTGATTTAGGAAGAGTTTGGCTTAGGGCGCTCCAAGAGGTCTCAGCCACTCATCTGCCATCCTGTTCTGCCTACGCCTGGTTTGATGGGCTGAGCTGATTCACTATGGTCACACAGAGCCTATTCCTCTCACTAGGCTTCTCTAGCTCACCAGGGACTAGGAGACAGGCCCTCTACCTCTTCTGCTCTTGGACTCCAGACTATACGGGGGAGTAAGTATGCTCTAGGCACTGCTCCTTCCTGATCTTTTCTTTGTAAATGGGAGTCCAAGTCCTTACTGTATCCGTAGGGTCTACAGCTCAGCTAGCATCCATAGGTGCTCAAGCAACACTTGGGAGTGAGGCAATAGTTAGACTAAGAGCCCCACTTTAGTGTTCCCTGAGTCCTCAGAAACCTGTGGAAGACACACAGCTGTGTGGGGCTGGGCAGAGCCGTCTACTGTCATGGGTGCAAATATCAGCTCTGTGAAAACCGGGGCCCTATAATCCTGTGTCTCTGTACACAGGAGGATCTTTCACATAGGGCTTCCAAAGAATGTGGGACCCTGCCTAAAGCAGCACAGGGTGAACCCATAGAGCAGGAGCAGGCAGCACTTACCTGGGGCAGGTAAAGGTGCACTAAGGCTGTGGTAGCCATTGGGTCGCAGTGGGTTGAAACCATGGGCTTCCCCTGCCAGCCCGTCTCCACCTGTGGCTGGCTCTGTTGTTCGGTAGCAGTCACCATAGGGGAAGCAATTCTGGATGGAGTGGAAACTCCCTTGGTAGCCTAGAAGAGTGTGCAGCAAAGGTTGCATTCATGAAGGGAAAGTGCAGGGCAGGGAGCGGACTGAATCACTGTACAACTCAGGCCAATTATCTGGTTCATTGTGGTTATGCATGAGAGGAGAGAGTACAGGGCAGAGAAGGGGCCCGAAGTCTGTGGAGAGGAGGGCTGGGGGGGGGTCCCATGTGGACGATGGTGCTCTTGTTCTCCCACTCTCTCAAATCCATTATACGTACTACCCACCTTCTCGTTCTCCAAGCATTCCTGACCTACCTACTGCCAAGGCCAAAGCCCTGCTATGCCGTTCTCTCAAGGGGAAAGCCCTTTCCCCACCGTGGACAGTGACTGAAGGGCCCTTCCTTACCTTTTGGACTGATTTTCTCAAAACTAAGTCCTGGCTAGGTGCTGTGGGTCACTGTCTCCCAGCTTCTCCAGTGTGAGCTTCCATGTCTGGATGTCATTCTCTGAGGACCCACCTGCCTCCCCCAGGCTTGTGTGTTGCTCCATAAGGAATTAGGGGTGTACACAAAGAGATGTCAGGACGGGTCTTACCTTGTGGGCTTGGCAGAGGCGGGGGCGGGGGACTCTGGAAGGGTGGGTAGGGTGGCTTGCTGGGGAGTGTGGGGAAAGGCTGGCCCCCGGGAGACTGGCTCTGGGAAGACGGTGGCAGTGGTGGTGGTCCAAGCCCCTTCAATGGGCTGACCATGGGTGAGAGGAGGCTGGATCCCAACCTGGAGAGAACAGACCACCATGAGCAGGCAGGCCTGGGAGAGAGGCACAGCGTTGGGTCCTCTCACCACCTGCTCTTCCTCCCAATGGTGCAAGTGGAAGAGAAAGCCTTGCTCAGTTATGTTCAGGTGGGAACTAAATTCTGATTGAGAGCCTAGCATCCGGCTTGCTAGTCAGCAAGGAACCACAGCAAAGCACACAACGTCTGGAATCTACAGAACACTGTTTAAACTCCTGTTCTCACTAGCAAACTTGCAACTGTAATGTTGCTGAGCCCTAGTTTCCCTACAAAGGGCTGTACTCTTCTGGCACTCCAAAACTCTCAAATGGTGGAATACCATTTGCTTTGCTGGGTGCTCAACTCTAACTGCCATTTGGGCCATCTAGAGGATGAGCCCTGGAATGGCCCACACTGAAAGCCTTAGCATGTGTTTGACAGAAGAATCCACAGCACTAAATCACCATTCATTGCCCTTCCTTGCCCCAAGCCCTGTGACAGGCTTCTTATGCCCTTTTGTAGACCAGAAAAAACAAGGCTCACAGAGGTCACCCATGTTCTTCCCAGCCACAGAGTACTGACCTCATGAGTAATATTGGGTAAAATCAAAGCAATATGTACAAAGCCCCACTGGACTACCAGATAGCCACTCCATCAACAGGAAGGGAAGAGCTAATAGGTGTGTCTGATGTCCAAGTTGGCCCCCTCTTTTTTCTTCCATCTCCACTCCTGACCATCTCCCCTCTACTTGCATACCTCGTGTGATAGGGGCTCACCATTTCCTTTCATATAGAGCCTAAGGGATGCAGGCCTAAGACAGTGCTCACCGGAAGATCTTGTGCCTGAGAGCTTGGCAATTACCCTAATCCAGCCACACAAAGAACCATTGAAATGGACTGCCACTGCTGCTGACCAGGCTCCTACCTCAGCCTTGGGTGTGCTCACAGAGACCAAAGCAACTTTGAGGTTAGTTAGGCTCTGGGATGAGGCAGAAGGCTTGTAGCCTAGGAAGTATTTATGTGCAACAGGAAGGAAGTGTGTGTGTGCGCGTGCGCACGCGTGTGCACATGTGTGTGTGTGTGTTCAGTGTCTATATTCTTGTGTGGATCTGTAGATTTGTTGGATCAGCCACATTAAAATAGAAAGTTCCAGGTAGCCTGTACTTCCCTGCTTGCCTGAGGCCTGTGAGTTGCTCCAAGACTATATGAGGTGTTAATGGGACAGCTTTGCTTTGAGGGAAGCCCAGACTGTATGACACTGACAGGAGACTGGGAGTGAGATGCAGGGGAGGGGCCCATCTGCAGTCGGATGTGTCCTCTTTACTGCCTCCATCCTGAGCCCTATATCTGGTCACTGTATCTCCAATGCACTGTCTTTTACATGTCTGGTCCCCTCATGAAGTGTAGAAAGGGGGCCTCTGTGCTGGGTTCCTAGCCTTTAGTTCATGAGCCAAATCCTCATTGAGTGGGACAGGGTGTGACTACTATGAGCTGCAGGGCTGTGTAACAATCTGGGGTCTTCATGGTCAGTTCTGGTAGAAGCTTGGTCAAGGTATGGCCAAGAGAGTTGTCCCTCTTCCTTCAGGCCTGCTGTGTGGTGTCTGACTTGCCTCCATCCCATCTGGGGACCAACAAGCCAGCTCTCCCCAGCAGCTCCTCTGGGGCGGGCCAGCTTTGGGCCTGGCATATGGCAAATGATGACACTAAGTGGGTTTGTGAATTGCTCAGTTCCAAGTCCCAGAGATGAACTGCTATGCAGAAGTAAGAAGAACAGATCAGAGGGGGAAACACATGGGTTTTCCCGTCTCTGCCCTGCCATAAATTTGCATTTGCCACCTTCACAGCCAGTGAAATTAAACAGAACACAACTCTACGCGCAGCCGACATGACGCGCAGGCCACGCTGCACTGCTCCACCTGGACTCTGAAAAGAGAGGAGGTCACCTGGAGCCTTCTTCTGAGCCATGCAAATAACTCCCACATCAAATACTTGTGTTTCAATTGGAATCAATAAAAATTAATGTGAAACCTCACTGGCCTGGCAGACAGAGGGCTTCATACCAAGCACAGAGCTAGGAAGAAAAAAACCCACCCTATTTGGCGTCTTCTCTGAGCCAGGGTAAATACATTTGGTCATGAAGTCGGGCCCTCTTAGCATAGTTTTGAGTGAATCAGATAATTCTGTCAAGCTATTTAAACGTACCAGCAAACCACTGGGGAGCCTCAAGTGGCTGTTCTCTGTTGACTTTGGCAGGAAGGGGAGGTTGAAGGCCCTTCCCTCCCCTCTCTCCTCAGTGGATGAAAAAATAAACCCATTCAGGCCAAGCCCCAGACTGGTGTCAGGCACGAGGGCCCTTCTCTCCCACAGCGGAGGGGCTGGGCGCTTGGTTGGGGAGGATGCTCTGCCAGCAGTGGTGGGCAGGTGGGCTGGGTGTCCTGCCTTGTCATCACTCTGCCTCTCACTGCAGGAATTCTTGATAGGCACTTATGCAGGTGGCAGGCAGGTGATTAGAGGCTGTGCAGAGCACAGTCAGGAAGGGCTCGTATGGCTAATTTTCCTTTGGCTGGTGAGTGAGCAGGTGGACTGAGCTGGGAGTAGGATGGGGGTGGGGCTCCTGTCCAAGGAGCTGTACCAAATGACATACACAATGCCAGGCACATTTGTCTGACTCTCATCTGTTCCTGGAGGAGGGTACTTTTTTTCTCTTTAAATAAGTTTTATTTTTATAATCTGAATGTTGTAATAAAAATTATTATAATAGTAGCTACCTTTATTCTCTGGGACTTGGATTATGCCAGGCATGCCCTGGATGCTCACGCTCTCAGCTCCCTGAGGTAGGTCTGTGGGGACACTACTGGCCAGCCTGGAAGCCCCACTACTGTCATGAGGTACTCTAGGTGCTCTACCCCATGAAGATGAGGATCCCTGCCTGAGGAAGGCTTTCTCTCTCCCTTCCCCTTCCCTTCCTTCCTTCTTTCCTTCCTGTGTGTGTGTATGTGTGTGTGTGTGAGAGAGAGAGAGAGAGAGAAAGAGAGAGAGAGAAAGAGAGAGAGACAGACAGACAGACAGACAGACAGAGACAGAGAGAGAGATGAGATATTTAGGGCTTGAATCCAGGACCTGGGTGCTGTCTTGAGCTTTTGTGCTCAAGGTTATCACTCTATCATTTGAGCCACAGCTCCATTTTTGGCTTTTTGTTAATTAATTGGAGATAAGAACTGCACGGACTTTTCCTGCCCAGGCTAGTTTTGAACAGTGATTCTCAGATCTCAGCCTCCTAAGTAGCTGGGCTTACAGGTGTGAGCCATCAGCATTAGATTAGGAGGATAATTTTTATTGCTCTCTGCTCTTACAGCTCCATCTTCAGCTCTGCTCACACCTTTCTGCACACCTTGGGGCCTGTCTCTGTCTTTCCAACCCTTTCTGCTCCACCAGGGTCTCCTAACTCTGCTGAGCCTAGGCTATCACTACTGCCTTCTGGACGTTCTTTCATCACCCCATACCACTTGGTCAGGATGCTGTCCTGTACCCCATAATCTCCCTTGCCTCCCACAATCCAGCCTGTGTCTGACTCCAAATCTGGTCGCATGGCTGCTCCCAAATCTGGTTACAGTCCCAGGACCAACCTGTGGTTTAGGCCTGGCAGCCTATCCACAGCCATCATTCACATGATGGCTTTTGTACCAGCCTTCATCAGGCCTGTCTGCATCCCTGCTCTCTTTCCCTCACGTGTCCTCTACCTGTCCAGTTCTGCTTCACCTTACAGGCTAGTTTAGCACCCTGCGCTAGACAGCCTTCTCAGGGCATCCTCTGACTTTCCACAGCCTTTTCTGCTTTCTCTCTGCAGTACCTGGCCCTGTACAGCCAGTCTCTTGTGGCCTAGCCACCCCTCTCTGCCACGCCACATACACTTGGTTGAAACTTTTGGAATGAAAGGTTCTGGACAGGAGTGGAGCCTGGCATAGACTCAAGCCCCAGGCATCCCCCAGAAGTTGGTGGAGAACTGGATTCCCTAAAAAAGACAATCTGGTCAGACTTAACCCGTTTTTCTCTGAGAAAGGGAAGTTCCAGTGTGACTGCTGTTCACCACAGTGACCCAGGGCCCAGTGGCAGGATGCCTGCCCTGTGCCCTGACAAGTCCCACCTGGGAGAGAGCGTCTGTCCTGCCTCCAGGCCAGTTCAGGCCTGCCATTGTATACAACAACTCTTGTTTCCTCCTCTAACAAGCAACTCAGTGTCCAACCACCATGGGAACCCAGTCCGAGAGGCACAATGGAGAAGAAGCTGCCGAAGCAAGCGTTTGGAAAGGAGCAGAGATCACAGCAGGCAAAGCAGCCATGAAGATGTGTCTGCAAGGAGTCCTTAGCTGGGTTCAGCAAAGAGAGGCCGGGGCAGGTGGGCGGAGCACTTCCATAAAGCTGCCTGTGGTGGATAGATGGCTTCTGATTTGACATCAACAACAGAATAAGGGACTGCAAGTTCACTGAATAGTCTCTGGCCAGAGAAACAAGGTCAAACGCTTAAGTTTCTTCACTTCCAGTGGTTCCTGGTATTTCCAGCTGAGTGGACATCTTTCTGTGACCAGTGGGTGCCACGCCACCTTCTGCTCTGCGTGAGAGATCGCATTGGACAAAGAGCTTCAAGGAAGCATGCCCCCAGGAAGGGGGTGTTGGTTCAAGGCTTCCCATACACTTGGCTGCACCTTTATAGCCTCTACCTTTATTCTTACTATATTCTTCTTGGCTGTACATTCATTGCCTTTATTCTTGTTTTGGCTATTTTTCTATTGATCCGCGAACAGAGCATGTTGTATTTTTCCAGTCCAATAGAGATGGCTTCTCTAAGTAATAAAGACTAAGGCCAAAGATTAAATGTGGGCAATGCCCCAATCAATCTATCATTTGATGTGACGTTGCCTCCAGAAACTCCTACAACTTCACAAGCGGTTTTTCAGCTCACGCACAGTAAATATAGAGACTTAAAATTTCTAGATATGTCCAACAGACAAAATCAATAAATTAAACTAAGTTAGAAAGAGTTATCCTAGTAGTTTAGAGAGTTCTAAAAAAAAGAAGAGACCTCTGATTATATAAGAAAAAGAAAGATTCTCCCAACAGTTATGATTAAGTTTAGTCCAACTTACGTTATAGGGAATAGATGGTGTTTTCACACAAAATATAAAGTTAGTAACATATTTCCTGAACCAACCAAGAACCATTTCCTTATACAGGAGCTTATAAAGATGAAAATAGTTGGATAAAAATAAAATTAAAAAGAGTATAATGTAAGTACAGCCCTGTCTTAGGTTTGTTAATTATTAAACATAAAAAGGCTGAATAGATGACGTATTCTATTAAACAATATGCTAGACTTGTTTCGCACCAGTTAGCTTAAACAGTTAGTGGGATAGTCATTAATTTTCATGTAATTCATCAATGCTTTGCCTTTAAAAAATTGATTACGTGCTTAAATAAAGAATCTATGTCACAATCACACACTGTATAAAAATGTTAATTCTCCTCAATAAAGATACACTCAGATGCAACTCTTTTGAGTCTGTGTCTGTTTGTCACTTTGCCGACTCCTTTGCCCACCTATCCCGAGATCCCTGTCCCGTCGGTCCCAGTGCTCCGGCCGAGCTGGTCCGTTGCACCTCTCACCTCACACATGGCAGCAGCTTCAGGATGGAGCCAGCACTGGGCCCAGCTTACTCTCAAGGCTCAACTGTATGCTGAAAGAAGGGATGACTGGCAGCAGGGGCCCAGATAGGAGCTGGTGGGGAAGCCAGGCTGGCCCCAGGTATACACTGGTTAAAGCCAGGGCTGCAGTCCTGGCATAAAAGGGCAGAAAAAGAGGGAAGTATTGGGGCCATGCCTTGGGTGAAGAATTTGATCAAGTCACTGCTGGTAATAAGCAAAGATTGTTGGGAGGACAGGAGGATAGGACTGAATTTCCTCTGTATGCTAGGAAGACACAGACTCCAGCATTGTTGGGAGTTAGAAATGAGCACATTTACTGTGTTTAGACTTTAAGTGGTCACAGTGAGAGCTACACTGGATGCAGGAAAGATGGTCCTCTCTGCAGTGAGACTCTGTTGTAAGATTCCAAGGAAGCTCTGGCAGGTAAAGCCATAACCACAGCTACACTGGCAGAGATGGGTGAAGACTAGCAAGTCTCTCTGAAGGGGAAGTTGGAAGCTTGTGTACCAAATGCACAGAGGAGCCAAGAAGAAGCCAAGGGATATAGCCTGGATATAGCAGTACACAGGTGTGAGCCCTGCATCCTCCCAAGACTCTCAGGAGGGAGAAAAGGGTGAGTATCCAAAGCTCAAATACCAATATTCCTGCCTCTAAGTCATTGGGAGCCATTGGTAACATGATGCATGGAGAATGGTAGAAAGCAGAAAATGCTTTGGTAGAAAGCACAGAGCTCTGTAAATGTGAGGTATTCTCATTATTTTAACAACCACACGGTGTGTGAAGTGCCTGCACTTACCCACCTCTCAAGTAAGTGCCCACATGTTCCTCAGGGAGGACTGGCTTGGGGTACATACCCATCCCTGGTGCTCTCAGTGGTCGGCAGGGGGGACATATGGTGGTGGGAACTGGCAGCATCCAGTGGGTGGGGCCTGGAAGGGACGTCGAGCGTAGGGGGCAGGATGCCTGAAGCAAGCCCACTGTGGGGGTTGATGGAGCCAGGATACACACCTGCAGGAAACCAAGAACATATCACTGGGCTTTGTCCTACTCCGAGAGATGACTGTGATGAGCAGGAGCAACGTGTGACAGCTTGTAAGAGAGAATGACAAGAAGGATAATGAATACTGTTGTATTAATAGGAGTTTAAGGGTCCGAACAAGAAAGGTGGTAGCTCTACTCAGCATGGCTAAAGGACCATGTCCAGGGCTAAGGACTCTTATGATGGCAGAGGTGGGCAGGAAATGGCTGCCAGAGACATAAGATAGTCATACCTCATGTGTGTGTGTGTGTGTGTGTGTGTGTGTGTGTGTGTGTGTGTGTGCCTCTCTGGGCTGTTTTGGAAATGTAACTGCTCTGTGTATTCCTAGAAACCAGCGGGGTCTTTGGAATCAAGAGCAGCTTGAGAGAGACAGAAATAAGTTTAGACTTGACAGTGACTTCTAACCAGGAATGTTGTTGCAGGTGAGACAGAAAGGAGTTTAGGCTTGACTGACTTCTAGCCAGGAATGCTGCTGTAGCACACTGGGCTTCTGGAGAGAATGAACTGTAATCCTCAGAAATGTCCAAGCAGAGCCCAGGAGTCTTCTGTGCACTGTTCCAGGGAGAGAATGACTATACCAGCTGGCCGGAGAGAGCCCTGAGTAGGGCTGACATACATAGCTTTCGAGGCTGCATACTACATGAAAGGTCCCCACTGTCCCAATTGAGGCCATTTGTCAAGCCATGCTCAGGGCTCAGATTCTAAACCTACAGGTCATACTTATAGGGTTAACCATCTTTTATCCCCTCTTCTTAAGACAGGCGGACTAAAACTAATGGGGATCAGTTTTGTACTTCACCCCTCATCATGTTTATCTGAAGAGGAACTGCCATCATGTTCCCTGCTATCTGTGTACTGAAGGATGCACTGGAGGACTCCTTGGTCCCTGGGCTGTACTCTGGGTGACACAGGTACAATGTATACTCTGACAGGAGAATGCCTCAGAAAATTGTTACCTTTGAATGTCACTCTGGTCAGCAGGGATCCAGATCCAGTGATTTTTATCACCCTATAAGGAGCAATGTGAGTACGCATCAGGTTCCTTCATGGATGGGCTGAGGAAGGAACTTTACCTGTTCCACTGGCTAGGTTCCAAGGCTATCTCATACCAGGATGGCCCTTCTGGCCCAGGCCTACAATTCAGGAGGCTGCTGCAGGAAAATGAGGTCTCAGACTAAATCCTCCCACCCATAGACATCTTCCTGTAGCTGGGACAAAAGGCGCATGCCACTACACCTGGCCCCATGAACCTTAATATTAATACAACAGGTGACCTGCCAAAGTCACACAATAGAAAGCTAATAAGGGCCTGTCTCTCAGGTGATACAGGAAGAAAGTCTGAGGCTAGTTCTAGGAATGTCTAGAATGCCACTCTAGGAATGGCTCAAGCTAGTATCTAGCTGGACTGGTGAGGGCCTTGGTTCTATTCTAGGCTTTGTGCTGGCCGACTGTGAGACCCCCACATCCCTGGCAAGTCCCAAGTGCCCTCTAGTCTCTCACTAGTCTTACCACTCGCCACCTCTGAGACATCTGTCCCTAAAGGCAGCACTGTCATCCATCCATCCATCCATCCATCCATCCATCCATCCATCCATCCATCCATCTAGCTCCATGTCCTCCTGGCTAGTTCAGATATATACTGGAAGGGGAAGATTATGGAGGAAGCCTGGCACAGTACTGTTCATCCTGTAACATTTAGTGCCTCCTAGGTACCTACTGCCTGGCCATCTTGAACCAATTTTGGGGCTTGACAGCTGGGAGGGCCTGGAAGAGGCATGGCTGATCCTCATGCTTCTCATGTCCTCACTGCCCATCACAATATCAAAGCCTGCTAAAGATGGCCCTTCTAGACAAGGGCTTGAGGTCTCTCTCCTCTGCAGAGGAGAAAAAACTTGTAGGGGCCTCTGATAACACTGACAATCTGATATCTCCACTCCAGCTCCTCCTCTGCCTATCTGTCCTGCCTATCTTTCCTAACCCTCCCAAGCTCTGTCTGCAGCCTTTGCTGCTGCCCTGGTCTAGGTTTCTGTCTATACAGCCCACTGAGGATAGACACATGGTGGTTACCAAGTATATGACATGGAGAAAATGAAACTTGTATGAACAGACAGTGGATAGGGATATAAGTCAATGGATTGTGAGGGCTGTGGGAGTGGGGGCCCCAGCCCTATCTATCCTCCCCCAAATCATACCATTCCAGGTTGTAAAACAGCATCATCAATCATCAGCCATAAATGCTTAACCTCTGGCCCTAACATCTGTTCCCAACTGCGCCTCAGGCATCTGCCATATGGCCTCTAGAGGGCCCTAATGGGCCCAGGCCAGGGAGTCCAGCTTGTGTTTTCAGGTTGCTCCTTCTCTATCTGCTACAGTGGAGGGCAGGGGCCAGCATGGTGGTAAATGTGCAGAAGACACTTAGGGTGGCATGGGAATGGCACTAGCAGTGAGAGGCAGATTCCATATTAAGACAGAAGCCTCAGCCTCTAAGATGTCTCACATCTACAATCCTACCTACTTGAGAGGTAGAGATCAGGAGGATTAAAGTTTGAGGCCAAGTCCAGTCAAAAAGTTTATGGGATTTCATCTCTATCAAGAAAAAGCTGGGTATAGTGGCATGTGCCTATAATTCCGGTTACATAGGAAGTATAAATAGGATTTTCACAGTCCAGGTCAGCCCTGGCAGAAACATGAAGCTCTATTTGAAAAACTATTAAAGCAAAAAGGGCTGGGAGTGTGAATCAAGTGGTGGAATCCCTTCATAGCGTGTAAGGCTCTCAATTCAAACCCTATTATCATCAAAATGAATAAATGAATGAATGAATAAGAGTGCATCTTTAGGCATGTGGCCATGGTTTAAGTCTTATGCAGCCCCTTCTTAGCCAAGAAGGCCACATACATTCTCAAGTTTATGTGAGCAGTAAGAAATGAACACAGACAGGTTTAGGCTCAAGGTAGCTGCTGGGATGTTCTGGCATATGTTCTCACAACAGCCCTCCAAGAGTAGCAAGTCTGGTAGGTGCTAGAACATCCAAAGACTCCTCCACCTCAATTGATTGTTTTTCTTTACGGCTTGGCCCTCAGTTGGGGATGAATCTTCTGCTGATGTTCTAGATGGACTTGGGTTAGTCCTTCTGTCCAGCCTTAGTCCTTCCAAGTTCCACATGCTGTGGCTGCAGGACCTTAGCTCTGGGCCACCACTGCTAATCATGGTTGGCCCCTCTCCTGCGCAGTCAGGACCAATCACTGGGAGGCAGCACTGGAGATGTCCTCATCCATAGCTAGGTTTATCTGTATGGTCCCTTTCAGCTTGGTTAACCATTTCAGATTTCTGGTCCTGTGAGAGGCAGCTCTGGCTAAGGGGGCAGTATAACACCTTGGAGTGTCCTTTCTTGGTGGGCCTGAAGAAAAGATGAAAACTTATTCTTTTTAAAGGCTGATTAGTAAGGGCTCTGATGTTATTTTAAAATCTGTTGCTACTTCAATGTTGAGGGGGAAGAATAAAATTAGAAAATGTAAAATGTTTTGAATGATTGAAGTAACTCAAGAAATCCCAGAGGGTAAGCAGAGTTTTCTCTTCTAAGACTGTGGTTTCTTCAGGGGACTGGGGGGCAGAATACAGAAACTGTCAGCCAAATCTAAAGGCCACACTGCCCTTATCTGGACTGCATTCCCAAGCCACATGGCCAGGAATTCTTGCTGTGGCCTGAGCCTGCCCCATGGCCAGCAGCTGCTGGACATGCAGGCTTCCTGGGTTGGACAAGAGGCCTTGATGGTCAGGTGTTTGGGCCTCTAGGGTTCTGGGACTCAGGAATCCCCATCTCTGGACCACAGAGCTCAACGGTGAGTGGATGTGGCTCGTCAAGAGGCCCACACTCTCAGTACTTCTGTTTTCCTTGTGTGGGGGACTATAATAGGACTCCGAGCAGAATGAAGGGAAGAAAGGCAGTTCCCCACTGCAGGCGACCCAGCAGATGGGCCACAGGGTGAATGTGGATCTTATACTCGGCATAGCCATGTTTGGGTCAAGGCATGTGGCTCTGCACAACCCTGTGCTGGTAACTTTTAGAAGAGGCTCTGGAGAAGCTCAAAGCCTTAGTTTGGTGGAAGGCTCTGATGGGAAACAGTGAGAGGCCAGAGGAAGACTTCTTGGAGGAGGCAACAAGGATCCCCTTAGTGATATGAAGAGAAGACACTGGCAAGGTGTGCACAGGGCTCAGAGTGCAAAGGAGCAAAAGGTGGCTAGAAATCTACATCCAGGGTGCCAAAATGGGGTAAGAGGTCACCATGAGTACTTAAGCCAGGAGGCCTCTGGGATTAGGCTAAGGAGGTATAGGCTTTATCCACTGATAATCAGGAGCTGGGGAGGAGTGTGAAGGAGTGTCTACTTAGATGGGCAGGAGAGAATGGATGAAAGAAGGGCAATAAGGTCCAGGAGTGTGTGTCTTGTGACAGTTGTGCCATGTGGCCTGGATTCATGGAGCACTGCTATCTTTTGGGGATACTCAGTCGAGGAAGGGCCTCCCCTCCTGTGCCCTGGCCCTGCCTCCCGTTGCATACCTGGGAGCAGCTCCTGGCCCAGGGCAAGACTGCCCTTCCCATCGCTGGAAGCCAGTTGTGTAGATGCGTGGAGCTGCTGCAGGGCCAGACACTCCGTCAGGACATCAGCCTCAGTCTCGGGGCCTGCATGCAGCTGGGGAGTGAGCAGAGGTAGGTCATGGTTGTGTGGGAGACTTTCCCATCAGACCCCTCGGTTTAGGGCAAGAAGGTCATTAACCCCAGGGTAAGACCCTCCTCACTGTACTTCAGTTTCCTCATTTGTAAAATGGGCTAAAACTGCACATCGTAAGGATGGTGTTAGATGTTAGTAGAAGCTAAGATAGGCTCAACACAAAGATTTACTATAGGAAGTGCTTGTGTAAGACAAAGCAGAGAATCTAGGAAGGCTGGGTGTCCACCAACCCAGGGAAAGACTGATGGGGAGCTTCCTAAGCTGGGAGTCAGGGTTCCTACATCTTTTAAGAGAGGTTTGCTTATGAAGAACTTCGGTCCCCAAGGGTTGCACAGTCAGCGGCTGAGAGCAGCCCATAGGAGGCACGTAAGTCAGGAGGGACGACAAGCATGACTGTCAGGCGTTTGCAATTGCATCAAGGGTGAACTGCAGAGATGGGCATGATGGGCAGCAGGCATGCATTGCCTGTTCCTCCCCGCTTTCTCCATTATTCTTCCCTCTCCCTGCAAGGGTGGGCCAGAAAAACTGGGTTCAAATCTCATTCTACCTCTTAATCCCTGTAGGACACTGGATAGATAATCTACCCTCTCTGGGTCTTACCCATCCAGCCTGTGAAACAAACCACTGATAACCTCTGTCTGCTGTGTTCAGAGGACAGCATATGGACCCAAGGTATCAGGCTAGCAGCAAGCCAGGGCTGGGGTGCACCCAAAACCTTTAACAATACTCCTTGGTTGTTCCCAGTCAACTCAGAACATCATTACTTCTCCAGATGGATCCAGAAGAGAAGAGGGTGCTGCCCGCAGGACAGTGGGTAACAAAGGACAAGCACCTGAATGGGAGGGGCCCTTTGTCCCAAGGAAATCTCAGAACTTGGATTTCAGAGCTAGACACTGGCTTACTTTATCCAGGACCCATTAAGAGTAACTGAGAGTCAGCCCAAAGGGTTTCCCACCCTCCCAGGCCAGAGTGCCAGGATCAGGCTGGGGACAGCATGCCTGCCTGCCACTGCTGGGCTCTCAGCGCCTGACCTAGCAGCTGTTTTCCATGTAAATGAAGTTTCTGGCAAAAGAGGGCCAAGGCATGTTCTTGTAGACCACAATGTCGATCGGATTAGGAACAGCAGGAGAAGAGAATTAAGGAAGAAAAGCATTTCTAATTCTCTCTGAAACGCAGCAGGGCTGCCAAGGACTTGTCATAATACAAGGGTCGCTTTACCCAGAAAGATACATCATCCCCGATGGCTCTAATGGATGCTTATTGTTGGGAAGTTTGCAGATCTGCGGCTGAATCCCTGGGGGCTCTGTGTAAGCCAAGTATGGGCCTGGGAAAACCAGGGAAGGATTCCAGTCCTTGGGCACTCTTGTGCTTGGGACAGAAGCCTCCCTGGGCCACTCCTGGCCCTCCTCAGGACCCTCAACCTAAAAATAGTATTAGGAAAGCTCTGGAGACAGATGGTCTGGGATGGTACTGGCTGTTTTTCCTGGGCTATACCATTCTGGGCTTTCATTAATACTTCAAGCCTCAGTTTCCACTTATCTAAAATATGAACAGAATGAGTTCCTGTGAATCACAGGAGGACTAAATGAGACATAGGTTGAGAAGCTCCAGGTCTGGTTCCTGAGACTTGGAAGACAACTGGATTATTCTTAGGGTGAATTTGGAGGTGGCTTCACCAGCATGTTTACTGAGCATGCTCTCAAATTGTTCCACCTCTGCTCTATCACTTTTTTTTTTTTGGTCCGGTTGTGGGGCCTGAACTCTGGGCCTGGGCGCTGTCTCTCAGCTCTTCAGCTCAAGGCGTGCGCTCTACCGCTTGAGCCACAGCACCACTTCCAGCTTTTTCTGTTTATGTGGTGCTGAGAAATCGAACCCAGGGCCTCATGCATGAGAGCACTCTACCACTAAGCTACCTTCCCAGCCCTGCTCTATCACTTCTCATGGCTTCCTACTTTCTTCAAAATGGAGACCTACCTAAGGTAGCCTGGCTGTCATTCCTCATGTACCAGGTCTGCTTACTTCCACCTCCATTCCTGTTTGCCCCATTCTGTGGGATAAAACAGTCTGCTTTCTCTGCCCACATTCCTTTATTGTCTTATTTGTGGCAGTATCCATGACCCATAGAATAGTGCTTAGATTACAAAATGTGTTCCATACATCAGATCAGGCGGAACAAATTAATAGGCTCTTCTCTCTTGTCCTTTGACTACATTGGAGTCCCTGGGATGGCTCCCATGCCTTGTTGGCATCCAAATACCCCTGCTCCCATGTTCTCTCAGGAACTGAGCTTCCCCGGGTCAGGAGGCTCTGCCTCACAGTGCTGTCCTGTCTCTGCCATAGGTCTTGGTGGCCTCAGTAGCTCTCCTAGAAAGAACCTACTCTGCTGCTCAGTTCTCTTATGTGCCACCATCTTGCCCCCTGCCCCAAGTCTGGCTCTATGGTGTCTGCTGCTCCCTACTCTGCTGGCTCCTCTGCCATTTTTCTCTGCCCCACAGGGCTTGCTTCCAGCATTGGCTTCTCACCCTGCATTTCTCTCCAGCATACCTCCCCTACCATAGCTTGTTCTCCTCACGGCCCCAGCAGCACCTTTCAAGATGACATGCCATTGGCACTGATTGTCCTTAGACATAACTACTGGGCAGAACTCTGAGCCTGCAGTGACTACCCAGACACAGAGAGCTGAGTGTACAGTAACCTTGCCTGGGCCATGGTGCTGATGATTCTTGCTTATCATTGGTCATTCCAGAGCATCTTCTTATGTGAACTCACCTGCCTCATACTTATTTTGCCTCAAGACAAATGATAGCACACACCAACTTCTATCCTGAGCTTGTGAATCTGTGTCAGATATGAGTCTTAGCCCTCTCAATTTTCACTACCACCCCTTGAAGCCAACCAATTTCCCTGTTCTTACCCCAGTAATAGTCAGGAAAGTAGAGGCACAGAGTAAGTACCTTTCTAGAGCCACTGAGATAGCACTAATGGAGCCTGGGTGGCTCCGGAGCTCATGTCCCTAATCACTACCTTTGGTGGCTCCTGGTTTCATTTCTTTTTGTAGATGGCCAGGACCCCTTATCTGTGCCCCTGACCACTTGCACATGGCTCTGCTGTTACTTATATCATACTGTATTGAGTCCTCTGATATCTGCCTCTTGCCACTGGGAGGAGCACTTTGCCTTTCCGATTTTGCACTCTCCATGGGGCTGGACTCAATGATATGGTGAGTGGGCAGATAGAGAAGGAGTGCTGGGGGCAGTTTGTGGTTGGGCAAATGTCTGGCTAGCTGGGATAAAAGAGGGGCTGTGGGTCAGCAGATGTACTCATGGATTGGGCAGGAAACAGTACCATTCACAGGTGCATAGATGGGTGAATACACATGGGTAATATGGGTACCTGGCCTGATACTGGACACTGGCCAGGACAATAGGGGATATCTTCAGAAGGAGCCTGGCTGAGAGGCCATCTTACCTTCTTACGCACCTGCTGCTCTTTGGCAGAGTGGGCCTTCACGTGCTTACGAAGGGAGCTGGGGTCTGTGTAGCGCTTGGAACAGCCGGGGATCTGACAGGCATACGGCTTCTGTAACATCAGAAGGTCACAGGAAGAAAGTAAGGGACCATCTTTCAGGGAGAGGGGCACCTATATGACCTGTGGGTGGAACCAGCAGGTGAAGGGAAGGCACCTGACCTGGGAGTTATGGAGGGGCGTTGCATCTTCTTCTACTATTGAGTGAATTGCCTTCTCTCATGGACCCTCACTTTTCTCTTCTACACAATAGGGCTGACCCTGAGGAAAGTTCCCCTATATTTTACAGTTGTAAAAGCACTGAGAATGTAGAGCAGGAGTCATATGACAGGCTACCCTGGCCAAGAACAGGAGGAAGTAGGGGATAGTATGGCCAGCCTGGGACTGACCACACAGAGGTAGGCAGGTCCAGATGGCAACTGGAGGTCTTCTTTCCAACAACTGTGGGAGGTCAGAAGGGAGCTGGCCTTGGAGAGCATGGACCAGTAGTGGAGGACTGTGCCTTTTGCCAACCACTTACTTGTGGGTCCCACTGCTCCTCTAGAAGACAAATGAGAGACTTGAGCCATTCCTATTGTCTCTACTTACACTCCTGCTTATCTTCCTTCAGACCCAGGCCTCTGAGTGCTTTTCCATGATAGCCAAGGCCTACCTTAAGCACTGACCTCTATTACCCCTTTCATGGTTCCCTGGTGCTCAAAACATAGGCCATTACCTAGCACTGTAGCTTTTTGAGGCTGTGGCCTTTTCTACTCTGCACCTTTTCTATTTTCTTCTCATTAAATCTGACCTCTAAACCTTCACTCTCTCCACTCATCCCACATCCTCTCCTAAGCTGTCCTTAAATCCCACTCCCTCCACAGGCCCAAGCTTCTTCCCATCAGTGATGGTAACTCTTGGGTACCATGGAAGCCTTTTCCACCATGGCAAAGACCTGTCTCAGCAGGCCACAGCAGGGAATCAGCTGCATTTTTATCTCCCCAGGGGCTTCCACAAAAACCCTGATGGGGACTTTAGATGCTATTGGGGCTTATAGCTCACCAGATTTCTTCTTTTAAAGACACCGAAGGAAGCCTTCTGCCTCCCAGGACTACAGGGGACAAGACAGTGTTGGCAGAAAAAGACACCTCTCAGAGTGATTCTCTGGGACTCCTGTGTCCTGTCAGACATACCATGTGGACATATCCAGACCTCAAGACCATTTTGCCCTTGCCAGATTATGGGGAAATGGAGAGATGTGATCATAGCCCAGGGCCCTCAAGGGGAGGGAAAGTAGAAAGAGATGACCATACCTTGGAGCTGCCACGGAGAGTTGCCAGGTTAAAGAACGGAGAAAAGCAAAAAGAGAGAGACAGAGTTGAGATGTTGCCTAGGCGTATAGTAAGGTGGAGGCAGGGATGGGAGGCCTGCTTGGACTGGCCACGCCTACCCCACCATGTGTCTTTCACATGCACCTGGCCCCCTCTTGCTCATGAGCCTTGACCCCCACTCCAAACCACATTCACGTACACACAACCGTATTCTCTCTTTCCCTCTTCCCTCCCCCTCTCTTTCTCCATTCCCTACTCACCATGGGTCCTTTCATGTCCCTGAGCTGGCTCCAGGCCCTGTCCCTTGAGGATGCTGATACAAATCCACACGCTTTTGTCAAAAAGCAAACAAACAGAGCTCCATGTAGCAGGCACACATGCCTGGAAACAGGGCAGCTAGGCCCATCTCTGTGTTTGTTTTTCCAGGGCTTGACGTGTATAGAACATTCCTCAGGCCCAGCTCCCCCTAAGCCCTCAGGAAACCCTGTGGCTGTCCCAAGCCAGCAGCCAAACCCCGGGCCTGGAGTCCCCACACAGGCTCCAAGCCCAGGGCTGCTCCGTTCCTGTCAACAAGGTTACTCATCATCATGTGTGGACTGCCACAGTGGCTCACAGAACCTCTCAGGCCTGTGCAGAGGACCGATTTTCTCTGGAGCCCTGGCTAGGTGTAGCACTCTGCTTAGTCACTTTTGAGTCTCACAGAACCTCATGAGAATCACCCTTTCTTTGTGAAGAAAGAGACTGAGACCTCTGTTGTGCCAACAAGACTGTAAGTAGGTCTTTTTGCTAGGAAGCTGCCTCTTTAGCCCTGAACAGTCCAGTGAAGTAGGCAACAGAGAGTTTATCATCCCCTCATCCTACTGATGGGGAAACTGAGGCCCATCAACTGAAGAATAAGAGCAGGAAAGGCAGCTACTTCAATTCTACACTGGGACTTGGGGCTACAAGGATCAAAGCCCACTTTGGATGCCTGGGACATGGCAGGGTTTAGGTGGCATTTAATCTGTAAGCAGCAGTACAGGAAGAAGGGCCATACAGACTGCCACATCAGCCATCCCCATACCAACAACCTCTCCCGCTTCTTGAGGGAAAGGCATTTTAATACCAAAGTCCATAGAAGTCAGGTGGCTGTCCTCAGATCTCTGAGACAGGTGGAAGGGCCTAAAGCAGAACCTAGGCCTGGTCCTTTCCATTCTGTTAAGAGATAATTTCCTGTCCACAGGGAACCCTATATTCTCTATGCTGGGTGGGGGGAAGCATAGCTGGGAACTTGTGAAAAACAGGCACTGCCCTGCATGGGCCTCCACTGGGCCTCATACAGTGGAAGCTGGGACTTCGGCCTAGCAGCAAGGAGCTGCTTGTGCTATTTATGCATGGAACTGGGTGCAAGTTGGGTGCTGGGCTTGATGGCCTGGGATAACCCCATAGGCCCTTTATATGCTTGTCTTAACCTTGCCCTTGGAGCTTTGTTCACATACCTGCTGGATCCAGAAGCCTGTTTCTTTGGGGCTAGGTCTAGGAAATGCAATAATGAGGGAGGAAGGAATGGGGTAAACCAGTGTAGGTAAAGGATAAGCCTGTGGAGATGTTCCTTAGGTCAGGAGGTGAGGAGAAGGCACTGTTGGGGATGCATTATGGCCCAAACATATCCAGGGATTTTGAGGTACAAAGTATACCTCTCAGGGTAGGCCAAGGTTCCAAGAGTTCTAGGGATGAGAAGGTGACTCAGGAACTAGATGTGCTAGAGCCACATCTCACTTTAGGCACAGAGCAGCCTTTGTCAGTAAAGCCTGGAAGAGATGTGAGTCAGGGTCAGGCTAGAGACTATTCCTGACCATCCTGTCCCCTCAGATCTGGCCCTCTAGGATGACTGTCACATCAGCTTTTTAGCAAAGAGTACTGGACTTGCAGTCAGATGATCCAGGTGTGCACCCCAGCTCCACCACTTCCTTCTGTCAACAGGGACATGACTGTGCGAGTCTCAGCTTTATTAACAAATTGGAGACAATGGGCAGACATGTGATACTGTAGGGAGCAGTGGACATGTAGAGGATCCAACTAGGGTCTGGCCTGGCTCCATTAACTTCCTGAATTTTTGCCCATCTTTCTTTCTGGGTATTTTTTTCTAGGTATAAAATACAGGGCTTAGACCAGAGAGCTGTGTCCTTTCAACTTTGGCCTCTGCTAGTTCATGGTTCCTACTTAGTGGGGAGAGGGGGGTCACTCTCTTTCTTCATCTGAGTACTGGATAGGCGAGGCCTGATAGCCATTCAGACCTCTCAGCACCCCCTCACCTCAGCTCAAGCTCCCCAAACATTTTCAGAGAAGAGGGCTTGTGTTCCAGATATAAATTCTGGTTGCAGACTCCAGTCTCCTGTTGCATATGGAGGCTGGGGTCCTGCAGGGCACCTGCCACCTTGCCCAGGACTGTCATGAATAAGCTCTGTCACTGTCCAGCTATGCCATCATGAGGAGACAGTGGCCTCTTGAGCCGGATTACTTCCTCTGTCAATTGGATCAGAGACCCCTGGTGGCAGTGCAGCCTGAAGATGATGTTTTAGAAATGCTCTGTTCGTTGCTCTGGTCTTTGTGTACCCAAGGAAAGGGTTGGGCTGACCTGGGATAGAATGATGAGTTATCTACTATCTAGCTCAAAGGAGGAGGAGGAAAGAAATATAAGTACTTGGAGGTCAGGCTGCTGTGGTGGGATCCTGTATCTTACGTGCTGTCACGTCAACTTCACCTACAGTCCTGAAAGGACAAGAGGATGGCCCTAGAGAGCAAGCCTGTTCCTAGGTGGTGAGTTCGAAGATCTCACCAGGGAGTGGCCTGTTCTGGGTATAACTGACCTGCAGAAGAAAGGATGTGGGGATGGAGAACATTCTCCCAACAGGATACAGGACACACTGAGGCCCAGGCTGGTTCCCATGGACCAAATCAGGAGATCTCAAATAGGGACCCTGTTGAGTTTGCATCCCAATGACAAATGAGGGACATCTGGCAATGTTTACAGATATTTGTCACAACTGGGAGGTGGAAAATCTCCTGTCTACCTAATGGATAGAGGCCAGGGGTACCAATAATGTACCTATAATGTACAGGACACTTGCTCAGATTTTTAGAGAGCAAAGGCAGGGTCTCTGTGAGACACTAGCTCTACATCAGATAAAGGGTTTGTGCATAACCCCACCTGTCCCCCAACTTTGTTCTTGGGCATACCGTGTCGAGATGGGTACGCTGGTGCTTAGCACGGTCACTGGAGTTGCTGAAGGCTTTCTGGCAGCCTGGGTGCTGGCACAGGTAAGGCTTCTCACCTGTGTGGCTCCGCAGGTGGATCTTGAGGTTCTCCAGCCGTGAGAAGGCTTTGCTGCAGCCTTCAAACTGCAAGAGAGAATAGTGAAAGGCTCTTAGTCCTTGAGGGCCCATCCACCTGGAACTGACCCTTTAGGCCTGCTTGACTCCAGCCCTCAGCCCTGCTGTCCTGCCCATACACTCAGACTTTATCAAGTCCTTTGGGCCCCCAAAAGTGTGCCTTGGTTTAGAATGGGTATCACAGGCTGGGAAAGAGTTATTTCTGCTTCCAGAAATAACTCTGGGCTGTAGCCCAGTCCAGAATCAGGACTCTGTGAGGGCAGGTCATTTCTGAGCTCAGGAATCAGGAAAGTGAGACCTCACCCTGGACCTGAGGGACCTCTGTCCCAAGGACAGCATGGGTAGTATCCTGGACCTCTATTCCCTGTATATATTTCCTAGTTTCTAAATTTGAGGTTGTGGGCCAACCTCACTGAATGACAAGGGTCCTCATCCTCCATACTAACTGCTATGAGAAACAATAACCACATCTGCACATGAAAATGTCTTTGATTTAACATCTGGCTAGTTAGTGTTCTATGCCCACCATTTACCAGGCCCCATCCTGGGCATACACATAGGATGTGTATGCAGTGGGGAGAGAAGAAATAAACCACAGTGCAAAGTGAGGAAGGAGCAGTGTAGGGCCTCTGTACATCTCGACCCTCCTGCAGCCCTGGCTGCTTGTCCCTGCAGCCTCTGCCCTGCTTCAGCCTTTCTTCTTGGAGTGCTTTCATATCTTACTCCTTCAGGTTCCCCTGCCCCAGTGTACACAGTTGCCCAGAAGCCAGTGACCCAGAAATGTATAGTGATGGCTCCCTGCTTAAAGTTTTGCTGCCTATCAAACCTCCCCTCCCTTGCTGCCTGCCTTTCTGTGTCCATACTCTAAATGTCAGAAGCTAACTAAGCCATTTCCAGCTTTTGTTCATGTAAATTGCACAATAAATAACCTCTCTCTTGGTCATCCAGCACTCCCCTCCTCCTTGACCTTCAAAGTCCAGCTCAAAGGCTGGTCAGGATAGGACTTCAACCCTGTAGTATATCTGGCTATCCCTTCCTGCTCCCCTTCTCCCCCGTAGCATGACTGTTTCAGTAGGATAGAGGCTCTGGCTATGTAGATCCTTGTTGGGGAGAAGGTAGACTAATGTGGCTGTGATGTGCTGCTAGGTGTTTAGCTATACAACTATGAAGTATGAGGCACCTATGTCCCCATTTGACACACTGGTAAAATGACCACAACAAAGACAGGATGCAAACCAAATGTGATGCCAAAGCCCAGATGCTTTACTTGCTGCCTTTCTGGGGACAGGGGGAGAGGGGGAGTATCCCTTTAGGAGGAAGGAACCAGAGAAGGCAGGCTCCTTCTCTACAGACACTGCCGTATCCTGGGCACCTGATCTAGACTAGGACTTACGTGACCCCAGCCCCCAGCATGAGGGCAGCAAGGGCTTGCAGCAGCAGGCAGTGTAGGGTAAAGCAGGGATGTCTATGTTCCCCAAGCTCTAGGGCTCCCCGAAGTGTGCTGTTCCATACCTTTCCCTTGAGTTCATCTGTAGAAGGAGGAAGTTAGTGACAGCTTCACAGATCTGTCTCTACATCTGGAACCCTTGACTTCCTTCTTCTCTGAGCTGGGACCCTGTTTCTTTTTTTGCCTTCAAAGGCACTTTATCTTTAGTGAATTGGAAGGCTTTGCATAAAGAGGACTGTGGGCAGAGATCAGATCTGGGGTCCAACTGGCTCATCTCCTTGGCCCTCAAGGGGGTGGGGGAAGTCAGTATCTCTAACCCAGAGCAGTTCTGCACAACTGGTAATTTCTGACATGGAATTGGACCAGTTGGCTCCAGCCTGTGTGTGGGTAAACTGAGATATAGAGAAACTCTGCCTTTTCAGAAGCACAGAAGCCCATGAAGGAGACATACATACCATCTCAAAACACCATGCTTGAGATGTTATGGAAGTAAATGGGCTGTGGAAACACAGAATGGATAATTCAGCCAGCCTTGGGACCATGGGATAAGCTGTCTGGGGGACTAATGACTGTGGAAAATTATTGGGGAGAGAGGGTGGAAGGCATGGGAAGCCAGTCATGGCAGCATCCATGCATTTACTCCTTTACCCCCTGCTCCGCCTGGGCCCAGAATCATGACTAGCACAGCCATGCAAATGGCCAGGCCAGGGACATGGTGGGCCAAGGAGACAGGTAGGAAGCACCAGTGTCACTTCCCCCAGATCCCCTGTGGAAGTCTCTCTGTGCTCACATGGGTTGTGTACTGTGAAGTGCTCAGAGGGTGCAGAGCCTGCAAGGAGAGCAGAGGCTAGATCACAGGTGCTCAGATGTCAGGCATGAGTCTTCAGGCTACCTCAAGGACAGTGGGGCCACAGAAGGGCCTTAGAAAGGGAATAGGTTCAGATAAGTGCTCTAGGAAGTTATCCTTGGCTTCTGGTGACAGATGGGGCTGGGAGAGGAAACAGAGAGAAGGCAGTTATAGCAGCTAGATATTCACTGCAGTCCTACACAGAAGGAGACAGGATAGAGCTGCTAGACAAGGGCCCAGAGACAGTACCTCCTGAAGGCCTGGTCACAACTACAGGTCTTGCTCTACTGTGGCCAGTTCAAGGCAAGCCTTTACAACTGGGTTTCAGAAATTGTCTCCCTTTTATTTTCAGAGGCTGCGACTGCCCATACATCAGAACCAGAAGGGAATCCTGTGCTGGCCCCTGCTCATCTGCAATGGCCTTGTGCCAGGTTCACCTGCATGTGTTATGAAGGAGCCTGGGCTCAAGAGCAGGGCTTCTTCCCAACATCCAGCATGTTCTATTTTTCTTGCTGGTCTGTGCAGGGAGGGGATGGGGCCGGCTGAGGGCAATAATTCCTCCAAGTTGCGTGATTTTTCTGACTTTGGGAGCATCTGCTCACTCTGGGGATCAGTATATCATCTTCCCCCAGGAGTTCATGGATCCCTATCTGGGCCAACCTTCCATCTCAGAACAATTGTTCTCACTCCAGCCTTTGTTCAGAATGTGCTCCTCCTGGGACACCTTCTCTTCCAACTCTCTGACAAGTTAATGTACACATTTTTCAAAAGTCCTGATCTACAGTGTGTGTACTTATTGTCCAAAATGGTCCCAACTGCCTCTCCCATCCTCACATACCCCACATATCTGTTGAGGAGTGATGGCTGTCTACAAACCTCCCAGGAATCTCCTTCACACAGGCCTTTGCTCCAGTTGTTCTTGAGGCCTGGATGGTCGTTCCATCCTTTACTCACTCAGCAAACACATACATATACCCCACACTAAACACTGCCTTCAAGGAGAAGCCTTCCCCATGCCTTCTGCATTGCTCCCGAGCTTTTTTTTTTTTTTTGGGTCCAGTCGTGGGGCCTGAACTCTGGGCCTGGGCGCTGTCCCTCAGCTCTTCAGCTCAAGGCTAGC